AGATCACAATTTCATACCTTCTTAGCCATCTAAATACCAGCATTGATACACGTGCTGCTGAAGTGTCCAGGTCACCATTTTTCCAGTTTTGTTTCAGTGTCTATTGATGAGCCTTTGCAATGTGGAGAAGACACTTGTAGCGGTGTAGCCAATCAGGTGCCCCCTTGATTTTTGTCTATTGTGGCTTATCAGGTTTAGGTGGGGAGATTTGACTGGATGGATTCAAGGATGGGTGAATTCAGCTTTACACAAGGAAGCGATACAATCATGCAGCTCCTTCCAAAGAAACCCTCCCTCGACCAAGAGGTCTATTTTTTCCCTATTAATTTGTATAGCAAGTTTCAAAATAAAATAAAAACAAAGAAATAAAAAGTTACTATAAATTTCTTACATGAAATTTGGGTGAATGAATGAATAGACAATGAGTACATAAATACAGTGGTACCTCGGTTCACAAACTTAATTAATTCCACGATTCTGGTCGCAAACTGAGTCAAATTTCCCCATAAGGTTCAATGTCAATAAGGTTAATCCATTCTGAACCATAACTTTCAGTTATAGATAAAGGACAGCATATAAAAGTTTTAAATAAATAAATATGTATTTTTTTCCCACAAAAATATGAGCCACGTCCCCGGGCTGCGGGCCAAGTTGCAGCTGCCTTGCTGAGCGTGGGGGCAGACGGGCCAAAGTGGAGTGGGAGCGGAGCTGCAGCTCCTGCGCTTCCACTGCAGCCTTCTCAGGGCAAGATGCTGCCGCTGTCGAGCGTCTGCCATGCTTCTTCCCCCCATGCCGGGGAGAGGTGGGAGGCACCCCATTCAGCTGGCTGAGGCCCCGTCCTTGCCTCCCCTCACCTTGGCCCATGGAAAGCAGCCCTTACCTCCCTCCTCGCGGCCCTCTCCCAGCCAGGGGAACCATCTCCTGTATCCCGCTCACTCACCTCTCCGGTATCCCGCTCCCGCTCACTCACCTCTCCGGTATCCCGCTCCTGCTCCCCATCCCAGAGCCAGGCGAACACCTGCAAGGGGACCTTCCTCCAGCTTGGAAGCGGGGTGGCGGCGAGGAGCCAGGAAGGCCTCAACTGAGGTGAGCGCGCCCTCATGGCTCCCCCTCATGTAATGTGCTCCCTTTCGGTGGGCAGGGCGAAGTCATCTTGGGCTTCTGCTGCAGCCAAAGCGAGTGGAAGATGGCTGTGATCGTGGTCGTCACCTGATGCGGAGTTCGTGAACAGAGGCAAAATTTTGCCAAACTTTCTGTTCGTGAACTGATTTGGTAACGAACAGAAGCGTTCATGATCCAAGGTACCGTTGTATGAACACGTGTATTATGTACCTCTATATATTTTATGTATTGCAAAATTATTAGGGATAATTACACAGATTTCAACAAAGGCAGTCCAGAGTATATCTCTGTATTTTCCATTTGTAAATTACACCCAAATCCACCATTTAAAAATCAAAAGTTTCATCAAGTCCTCAAATCCCTAGTATTATCCCTAGTATTATTGCATGTGGACTTTTGTCCTTTCAGTGCTGTAATATTGAGTTTTAGCTTCCGAAAAGGCAGAGGAAATCCATTTACATTGACCTTGCTTTAAGCTCCAAAAGGCAGTTAACAAGAACATGCCTATCTGTAAATATTAATAACATTCTGTCATAAAGTTTATGTTATTACTTACTCCTCAAAAGAAGGAGCCATTAGGCATTGACAAAACATATGAGCAAGGGCAACATGACTTATTTATGACTTAAGTTTGGTGAATATACACTCTTATTTAAAAGACATTGTGGCATCCAGTATACGCAAAACATCAGTTTTTGCTTAAACATACCTAATATCCATTACCATTTCTGAGATAGATGCCAACAATGAAATCCATTCATTAGGCAAAATAGGATGTTCCAGTTCATTGTTGTATTTTTGCTCAAGACCCAATAGTAGATAGTTATAAACATGGGTTGTGCTGTTCACCTCAAGTAATACTTTCAGTAAGAAAGAGGACTCTGGAGTTGTAAAAGCAGTAGGGCAGAACCTAGATTCTAACAGATGTTGGTTGGCAAATAATAGCACACAAATGAGAGAATGGCAGAAAGTTATCATCAAGACCTACAAGCTGATCCGAAGTAAGTATCAGCTGGTTCATCCAAGTCCTCCAAACAATTGGTTATTTGCGAGTCTTTAAATATGAGTTTCAAAATTTAATTTCATTGAAACTACACCACACCTCTTACTGCTATAACTAGAACACATCTTGTTTGGGGAGAGTATCCAAACATGAAGATTCCAGAGCTGATGAAGGCAAAATCTCTAAAGCAGGAAAGACCAAAATTTAGTACAGATCAGTTACTAGGTCTGATGTAAAGAAAGCCCAGGGAAGTCAAAACTAACTTCTTTAATCAGAAGTTGCAACCTGTGCAAAAGATAATGTGATGCACCGGAAGCACAAGGAATTTACAAAACAAAGCATTACATGTTTGGAAATACATGCTAGATAGGAGTAAAGGAATATCATGAGGTAGTACATTCATTTTATTTACCGCAGAAACTCAACTTTAAGAATACAAAACTATCAATATCTCATAAGATCTCATGAATTAGTTTACTCAAATTTAGCATAATCATTTGAAATATATCTCTAGGGATAAGTACTCTCAAGTTAGTAATGAAATCTGTGCACAGTCTAAATTGCCAGTTAACTAGCACACTATGAGGTATAGTGTCTCCAGCTGACATCACTTCAGACTTTGACCACTTCATGAAATGGCTAGACATATAGCTGAAATTATTGTCTGCATCAAAGCTGGAACAGATTACTGGCATTCCAAGATAAACAATAAGAGATCACCAACATAGAGAGTAAGTTTAAATTATAAATTACTATGTACTAATCAATGAGCATTATGGAGAAAGTATTCCTGCCTAATGCCTTAAGTAAAAAAAAAAAAGCCAGACAAAAAGCTATTGGTCCTTATTCTGTATTCAGAAACTGGCTTAATTTTCAAGGTTATGTGCAGGTAAATAAATTTCTGCTCTTTTCTGTATTTAATTATGCTCATTTTGTCAAAATATCCATTATTGAATACCCAGAGTAAAGCTTTCACTACCCATAATCACAGGAGGTGAAGCCTTATATCTGGTCTTAGATCTTTATTCTGGTTTACCAAGGTAATCTAATGCTAATTTAGTAATTAGTTGTATTTGTGGGCTAACTTTCCACTAAATATAATGTTCCAGACAACTAAACATTCCATAATTAAAATATAATGCATTATGAGAGTGCTCCTATGTGCCTAGAAAGCTTCCAGAGACATAGAATATTCCAATTCTCAGAGTTAGGGATTTGCACTTCGATCCCACCTCCCTACCTAGGAGCCAAGGCTAGGAAATCAACCTTAATCTGGGTAAAGGGGATGTTCTAGGGGACAGGATAAGAAGGAGACAGGGGCTACTAGGATACAGAATTGGTTGTCAAGCTGAAATTTAGAGCAGGAGGTACAAGGAGTCTGAGATCACTTGTGCCATTCATCACAGTCTGCACTGGTAGCTCATAAACCTCTGCATTGGGGGCTAATGAACATAAAGAACACAATCATTGGGATTGCCCCCTGAAACACATCACCTAAATTAAAAAATAAGCAGCACCCATCAGTTAAAAAATAGCAAACAAGACAACAAGCAAGAAAACAAATAATGTTTGCATGATAATGTATTTGCATGCCAGTGGGAAAACAGTGAAGATGGATCTAGCCTTGTCTCCCTTAGCAGGCAGTTTGGTAATAGTCAGCAAAAAGACCCTCTATTGCATTTCTGTTAAATGTCACTCTGAGGCTGGTGGGACTAAGTTCCAGAGGTTTCACTTCTTTTCAGTCTTGCCATATCATATAACCTTATTCCTTTTAGGTTTTATTAGAAACCACTTTTATTATGTATTATTACATTATGTATTTATTATGTATTTTATGTTTTTGTTGGTGAATGAATTCTGTTGATAATAGGACAAAAGTAATTCTATTCCAAAATAATGTCAATAGAACTTGATCGATTGGGGGGTGTCTTCATTTTTTAGGGATGAAATTCCAAAACCAACACTTGCATTGGAGTATACTTTTGGAAGAAGAGCAAAAGGGCACAATACAGTAAGTATGCAGACAAGCTATAGTAGGATCTGCTCCTTGTGGGTCTTGAGTGATGTTAGAATCAAAACATGGTACAAACTGAGGATGAAATATGTCATGAGCGCCACACAGTAGAGTCTCCTTCACATTCAGTGCAAATGACACACTCCACTTTGCAATTACTTTGATAGTTGGGGAAACTCATGCACTTTTCTAACCAATATATTTCAGTTTTAGTTCTGGGAATGCTAATTTGGGGTAAAATAAATGTATTTGTCTTGGAAAACTTCTGAAATGCCTAGATGGACCTACATATTACATCTATTCCAGAACTGCATGGGTTTAGTTAGGTTAGACTATATTATGATTTTCCTTTTAAATATACTTAAGAGTGGAAGCAGTTGATATGGGTCTACATACCTACCCTGCCCCTTTTTGTTTTTAGTTTGCTTAATAGAAAATAGCCATACCCTATTAGAAAGCAGTTGCAAGCTTCTTAATATCACAACCAGTTTGCATTTCTCATTCAGTAATCAAAATTTCTCACTGGGCTCTTTGACTGACAGATTCACCTTCTTTTCCTCTGTTTCTGGAATTGTCTACAGGCTGAGGAAGGCATTAGAAAAGAAAGATCTGATGATAATTCTGCTCTGCCTACCTTCTGATGTCCCAGCTGCTAGTTGCATGTTTTAACTGACATAGCTACTTGAGACTAAAGCAAAAAAAAGTCCAGGCTGTCTTTGATACAAACCAGAGCTGTTTATGTAAGTTTAGATAGTGAATAGCAGGGCTTTTTTTATGACATAGAGCGCACCGGAACTGTGTTCCGGCTCCTTTTTTTCCAATGGATTTTACGAAGTGGTTTTGCACGGAGTAGCAGATCAGCAGCAAACATCATTAACATAGTGCCTGCAGGCTGCTATTGTGTCTGCTCTCTGATAGTGAGAGATAGCTGCTTGGGAGGCTGCTCTGCTGCTGCCTGCTTGGCTTGGGATTGGTGTGTGTGCTTACTGCCGTATGGGCGTGAGTTCCGGCACCTTTTTTTTTTTTTTTACAAAACACTGGTGAATAGCATGTGGAGACAAAAATAAATCAGAGAACTATGGCCAATAGTAGTTTCCTGGTATGTGCCTACCAGGTTTTATTTCCATTGATTTAAAAACTGATCATTTTTGATGCACCCTTCTGCTTTTACTGTGCAATCCACAATTGGTTCCATTATAGATTATGCAGTGTGACATTGCAGCTTGGACTGCTGGATTGTCTAGGAGCTAAACAACCCAAGAGCTGACCCTACAGCAAACCACATGTAAGCCCTTAAACAACCTCCAAAGGAGCTGATTATGGATACTACATTAAAAGTGGAAGTAGGCATGCTGCACAATAACCCATCATTTTTTAATCGGCAGTGTTTAGGGACTTGTGTCTCTCACTCATATTTTAAGTGTGGTGGGGAATGTTACTTCAATGACATCTAGCATGTTCATGCTGCCACATAAAGAGTGAAGTGGTTCTTAGAATATCTTCTGAAGCTTCACATGAAAACCTTGTTTTCCAACTTCGAGTCAACAAAGCCCACTGCTGACATCTTTGTAATCCCCATCAGCCTCTACCTGTCAGCCCTATCTGCTGTGTTGTTATGGAGCATTTGATCTCACAAAATGTATCATTGACAACTTGCCTATATGAGTATTGAAAATACTGGTGAGGCATCAACATTTTGTAGTTCTAATAGGAAGACACTTTTTTTCAGCCCAAGGACATTGCTAATTTTTGGGAACTAGGTGGTGGAACTTCACTGTTGGACCTGATTCCCATACCTATAACTACTGCTAATATAAGGTAAATGAAAATTTTGATAATTTCAACATTATTCTCTATTTTTGTTGCCACTGTGAAGAGGGCTTTTACTCTTAAATGTTATTAGTTCTGAAATATTCATTTTTTTTTTTCCAAATAGTCATCTGCAATCAAGTGTGTGAACATTGTAGGCTGAAGGTTATTTTTTTCTGCCCATGTAGTAGTTGTGGTGGTGTTTGTTTGTTTGTTTGTTTATGTAATAGCCTGCCTTTTTTCCTTGCAAGAAACTCACAGTGGCTTATATAAGTTTCCTTCTCCTCTCAATCTTATCCTCACAACAGCAACCCTTTGAAGTAGGTTGGGCTGAGAGACTGTGACTTGCTTAGACTCACCCACTTAGCTCCATGGCCAAGTAGGAACTAGAACCCAAATTGCCTGAGTCCCAGTCCTGTACTCTTAAGCACTACACAACACTGACTCTCATTTTCTGAAATTGAGAAAAGAAAGCATATATCTATATGTAGTCAGTATTAGTGCCACTGGCAAACAATAACCAGTCATACCTGCATTGAACCCAGGTTTTAAGATTCACTGCACATCACTGAGGCTGCAGTCCTTAAAATTTACTGTATGTACCTACTTTCTTTTGAATAGACTTTTATAGCACTTCTAATTGCTTATTAAAATTGGCTTTTTCCATACAAAGGAAGATAGGTTAAATAAAGTTTATATTCTAAAAAAATCATCAGAAAGCAATATAGTTTAAGGAAACCTTCCAGGCGCTACTCCAGCGGTGGAGAACCTGTAGCCCTCCAAATGGACAGAGTTTCTATGAATTACAGTCCAGTTGCCTTTTTTTCTTCTCTCCACAGAGAATATTTAGCTATTAAAATTGCTACTTTGAAAAAGACTGTGCTCTTGGATGTTAGTAATGTTCATACTGAACTAGAGTATTTCTTGGACTAAAATAGTAAGAAAGAAGGAATCATTGCAGCCAAGTACCTTTGTTGGCCTGCTGTGAAAATTTAAAGCTAAAGGGCTTGTACATCATTCAATAAAAGTGTCACTATAAATGTTTTATTCCATTTCATACAAATTGATGATTTCATTGGAAGCTTTTTTTAAAAGATTATCTTGGTGAGGAAAGGATCAATGCCCTAAACTGTCACTTGGCACTATCTGAATGGACAAAACCAAGCCTCAGGGTTGTATGATCCCCCCCATTCTCTAGCATGGCCATGTGGATGGATTGGTACCATATGCTTCCTGTTTTAAATTAACTAAAGTTGGAAGAAATTGCATTAAGTTAAACTATGTTCTGTTGAAACAAGCCAGAATAAAAGCATATTATATGATCCTATCACGTTAAGTAACCAAAGATTATTTATCTGTGTTGCTGATCAGGTTCATACCTCCTTAACTTAAGCTATGCCATTATGCCAGGTGCTTTCAGACCACTCACTGATCCTGCATAATCAGTTTTATGTATAATCTAGTCTAATCAGTTAGAATGGCAGCTAAATTAAGTAAACTTCAAGTAATTTTCCAGGCTAAGATCAATTGTTTCTGTATTAATGTAATATTTTGATCTGCTTGGATATTAGGGTTAAAAGAGTTGTTATGCTCAGTTATTGCCATTTTATAAGATACAGCCTGTGTACAGAATATCTTATTAGCTTTTACAAATGAAGGTGTCTTTTCATCTTACATTTATAGGACAGTTGCTATTGTTTTGGTTTTGGATCTTTCAAAACCAAATGAACTCTGGCCAACTATGAATATTCTTCTGCAAGCCACAAGGAAGCATGTAGACAGAGTTATAACAAAACTGGGACAAACCAATCCTAGAGCAGCTGCTGATATTAAACAGAAAAAGTGGAACAATTTGCCAAAGGATCATCCAGTAAGAACTTAATATTTTCTCCAGATGTCACAGGCTCATACACAGTTAAAGATAATCGTTTTGAGACTCATAAACAATGCTGTTAGATTTTTATGCATGACTGAAAATCCATTTGATGTAAAAGAACTTGTTCAGTGGAAAATTACTGTATTTTTCGCTCTATAAGACGCACCTGACCTTAAGACGCACCTAGTTTTTAGAGGAGGGATCCATGGAAAGCTTCCTGATAATCACAGGCACATTCCCCATCACTTCCCCAGGGGCTTCATTAAAAGACGGGTTGCCATTTGAAAACACACACCGACCTGTGATTAACAGCTCTCACCTGCGCCAGAGGAGGGGGGCAGAACAGGGCGCGCAGAGCGCGTGCCAGCCAGGTGTGGTGCAGCCGGGCTGGCAGCGTGCCGGAGGTGGTCTTCCAGGCGGCAAAGTGGCGGCGGCAGGTCTTCCCAGGCGGTGAGGGTGAGCAGTCCGTCTCTCCGTGCAGCCGGCGGGTTAAAGCCCATGGCTCCTCCTCCTCCACACCGCTCCCCCTGAGCGGCACAGCTCTCACCTGCACCGGAGGGGGGGCGCGGAGCAGGGCGCGCCGAGCACGTGCCGGCCAGGTGGTGCCACGTGGTGCAGCCGGGCCGGCAGCATGCCAGCGGTGGTCTTCTGGGTGATGCGGTGGTGGTGGCAGGTCTTCCCAAATGATGGGGGGAGCAGTCTGTCTCTCCATGCGGCCGGTGGGTTAAAACCCATGGCTCCTCCTCCTCCGCACCACTCCCCCTGAGCGGCACAGCTCTCACCTGCGCTGGAGCAGGACGCGCCGAGCGCATGCCGGCCAGGTGGTGCCACGTGGTGCAGGCGGGCCAGCAGCGTCTTGGGCATCGGGCACACACACATTCGCTCAATAAGAAGCACAGACATTTCCCTTTACTTTTGAGGGGGAAAAAAGTGCGTCTTATAGAGCAAAAAATACGGTATAGCAATTTAATGAAAATTCTGTAGGAGCAGAAACAAGGAAAGAAGGTTTCGTATATATTCTTGTTAGACATCTAATGCAATTGTTATGGCATGTTACAACAATCAAAAGAAACAGTTTTACAGAACCAGTCTGATACTGATTTTATAATCCCCTTTTGAAATGAAGGTGAAAACTAGAACATACAGAAGTTATATGGCAAATTGACTTGATGAAGCTAGAGATTTAAGGAAGGGGTGTAGTTACAACAGTCTTCAGCACAACTCTATACTTTGCATTTATTCAAGTGTCTATCACAAATGCAGTGCCTTTTGATAATATGACAACTAATTAAATTATAAAATTTCAGGGATGTTAATACCAGCCCTTGAAATTCAATTGCTAATGTGCTTTCTTGAAAAAAGTAAAATAGATTGCCAGAGATGCAATTGAAAAGGTGCCTGGCATCATGCAGTCATCTTGTACAAATGTTGTGCATATGCAGTGTCTAAACAACGTATATAATATATTCTATAGTCACAAGCGAAGGATATAAAATAATACTTGAAAGTAACTATTACTATGAGAGAAAAATTATAATGAGAAAAAGACACCATACTTGCTAACTTGGCTTCTATCTGACTGCAGGCCATTTCCTGTATATTGCCAACACTTGACAAGCATGTTTTCCTCCACTATTTCACCTCTTACTTTGATACCAACTTTCCTATGATTAGGAGAAACCATGGCTCCCCAACACCTTTATCTCTCACAAAGTTTCTGTGCATATGTGAGAAGGCAAAGGAGGCTTGGACTTGATGAAAAGAAATCCTTCCTTCCTGCAGCCTTGTAACCTGCTCATTTTCTTCCACTAAAGTTTCTGTAGACAGAGAACCCATTGTTCTTCACATGGGTTACAGCAGCAATTTAGTTGGATTCATCTGGAAGCAGGGAAGGAGAGATGCTTTCTTCCATTTTCTGGTGCACCTAATCTTAGATTCCTTTTCATCCACAATGCCTTGAAGTCAAGCATATAAACCTACCTGAGGTTAGGCAGGTATATAGGAAACCCAACATTCAGAGAATCATTCCCCTGGCTAGTTTCTTCTTGAAAGGAAAAGCCAGCATGGAAAGCCATTGGTTTACCTAGTGTATCTTCTCTTATCTCTGGTTACAGCAAGCTTGTGGGTTGCCTGTTCAAGTGTAGGTGGCTTAGGTTGAGTTGGTGGAAATGTGGATTCTTTGTATTTATGACATCAGTAAGGTATTTTTCTACATTTACCCATAATGGATCAGTTGCTATACAGTTTTAAATTCCACTTTTCCTGAATTGTTACATGAAAAACAAAGTTTATGTGTAATGTTTTGAAGTATTAAACCTTGTTAGCACATTTTCTGTCATTTTAACTGGATACATTTGTTAATTACAAAAAATGTTATAAATACGACCAATTTCTTCATAGGATCATGAGCTGATTGATCCATTTCCAGTTCCACTAGTTATAATTGGAAGTAAATATGATATGTTCCATGTAAGTAATACATGCTTGTCAAGTCTTTTCCATTTACATTTTGCTAGCTTAGGATATGGATTTTTAAACATTGTCATTTAACATGTAACAGTGAGATTTTGGCAGGTGATGCCTTTATTTTACAGTGCAATCCTATATGTGTCTATTTAGAAGCCTCTCCAGGTAAGCAGGCATAGGATTGTAGGCTAAGGAATTGAATTAAGATTATATGCTTACTTCCCCAGCCAATATACATACACTGTCCGTAGTCATTAACTGGTGGTTCAAATAGAAGCTTAAGTATAGTTCCTCTCCCCAGAAAAGAATCACACATTCTCCTTCCTGAGGTCTGATATTAACCTGATAAAGCCTTTAATGGTCTGGAACCAGCTTATTTCAGGGAGTCCTCCTAGTTGCTCTGTCCCATCATTAGGGAAAATCACATCCATGGACAGGACCTTTTTGGGCTTGTGCCTTTTTATTTCCATTCCTAAGGAATTCCTCTAAGTCATCTCTCTAGCTGTTCATGGTTTCCTAAGTGGCAGCATAATACATTTTTACCAAGTCACCTGTGATTGATATATAATTGCTAGTAAGGAACGCCTAGATTTCTTTATTTGATTTCTATATTAAGTAACAATTCTTTTCCAAGTTTGTTCATCCACATTCTTGTAAAGAGAATGCATAGATACTTGTGGGGCAGAACAAAATGTTTGGGAAATATATACATATATAGTTGAAGCAGCCAAGGATTAAAGCTATTTGATGAGAACTGCTTGGTATAATTAATTAAGACCATGACCAAGTATCCTTTAATGCAGGCACCACAAATTGTGGTCTTGGATAATATTCAAAAATATGCTCTAAAGACACATCACTATTTGAAGCATACTTTCAGCCCAGACATAACCTTGGTCCACTAAACCTTGGTTTACAGCCCAAGCACAGACACTGTGCCAATGCATTCCCTCTGGCCTTTCCCTCCCTTCTTTTGTGCAGTAATCAGATGCTCAAAGCTTGTCAACTCACTTGTCTTTTACATCTAAACTGGGAAAGGGTGACTCAGGATTTTAAACCATAATTTGTTCCTGCTTTAAAATCCTAGTTTGTAGTCAGAAATTAAGACATCATTTCCTGAGTCATATATAAGGACAGGGACATAATACTAGTTTATAATAGTGGAATAGCTCTATGTGTTCCAGGTCCTAGTTTGTAGAAGATGAACACAGTACTTAAGCCTTAAGATTTGGGCACTTTATTTTAATTACTCTTACATTTATAGCCTCACTTTTTACTTGCATGGAACCCAAGGTGGCTAATGTGGTCCTCTGTACCTTAATTTGCATTATTTTGTTTTCCTTCAATAAATAACATATTCAAAATAAGTTATTTTTGCATCCACAAACATTAAAATCTATTAAAATAAAAATACAGACAGCTTTCCAGAATGCATCATTACAGGAAGTAGCAAAACCAGTCTATTTCTTAATAAATCTGTTCTGATAAGTTTGGACAATTTTGTAGCAATACTGAAGTCCCTTCTAATCTTTATAGATAGGAATATAGTTTTAGAAGAATTGATATTGAGGTGAAAAGAGTGATTAGATTAATTTAAAATGTACATGTCTTAGTTGGTAAGTAGGTGATCTTGCATTGTTAATGTTACATTGTTAAACAAATGGAAAATATCAATTAGAATTTCTTTGCTTTTTCTTCTCATTTTTAACTTGTTTTAGGAATTTGACTCTGAGGTGAAAAAAATAATATGCAAGACACTTCGATTTGTTTCTCATTACTATGGAGCATCTTTAGTGGTACGTACATGTAACTATACAGTAATTGGTCTAGTGCAGCCAAAGTTGTTGTTGTTGTTGTTGTTGTTGTTGTTGTTGTTATTATTATTATTATTATTATTATTATTATTATAACATTTCTATGCCGCCCCTTGCCAAAACCTCGGGGCGGCTTACAACATGATAAAATACATTGAAATACAATAGTACATAAGTACAAGTTAAGCCCTTTTAAACCCCTTTGGTTTCACTGAAATGTCAGTTCAGTGTGCAGTTGTGATAAAAAGGGCAAATACCACAGTAGGAAATATTTAGAAAGGTACTGAAAGAATACATTTTTCTGTATCTGTCATGCAACCTCATTTAGAATATTATGTACTATTGTATTCATTCCACCTTATCAATGTATTCACACACTTGATGAGGGGAATTTTTTTTAGGAAAAAAAGACAAGTAACAGAAAAGTTCTGAGAGACTCACAGTCTTGGGAGATTGTACCAGGGAGCATATTTCAGAATCCACTCCTGAGTTTGTAAATACTCCTACAACCTTGGGTGGAGTACTGTGAGTACTGTGAGAACCAATCCCTTCCCCAGGTCTTTGTAACAGTCACAGCACCAGCTGTGCAAAAAATTGACCTCAAGACAGCTTTCAGGAGAGTGAATGGAGCAGGATGGTGGGCAGGGAGAGGGCAAGATTCAAAGTATTTTGTGGCTTCTTTGTCATGTGTCCCGCCTACTACATGTTTGTTAGACAAGCTCAAGGATGCATCTAGTTTTTAAAAGTTGGAGAAACTAAAGGTAAAATCACCTCTGTTCTCCTTCATACTTTGCTGACAGCAGCCTAGCACGGAACAGGGTTTTCAGGACCCTCCAAGCCATAGCAGAAAGGAAAGCACAGAATGCGCGAAACACAATATGACAATAAAAAAAGACAATGCACAGATAGAATACACAGAATGCATTGAAAGGATTGTTGTGAACATGAAGTAGTGTATCAGTGTCAGTGCTGTTTAAACCCCTTGAAAGGATAGGCTAAAAACATAGTAACCAATAATAAAGGCTTTATCTGTTAGCTTTTATAAGAGGGATTTGCAGAAAGAAAAAAGATGGGGAATACTTGGCTGAACAGCACTAAAAAAGAAAAAGACCTAGTTGTGGACAACAAGTTAAATATGAGCCAACAATGAATTCAGTGCAGCTGCAAAAAGGGCAAAAACTATTTTTGGATGCATAAATAGAAGCATCACTTCCAGGACAAGAGAGTTACTAGTTTCCTTATAGTTAGAACTTGTCAGACCTCACCTGGAATACTATATTCAGTTCTGGGCTCCTGGTTTTTAAAAAGATGCAGAAAAACTAGAAAGGGTTCAGAGGAGGGCAACAAAGATGATCTAGGGTCTAGAAATTTAGCCTTAGGATGAGACGTAGAGAGCACTGGACATGGAAAACTAATGTTTAAATGCCCCCATATAGCCATTTTTCATTCAAAATGTCTCCTGGACACTGCTTTCAAAAAGAAATTGGTCATTGCGGGGTTTCTTACATGCAGTAGCTTGTAATCTGTAAAGAAGCTACAAAGAAGAACCTTTTCTTTTCAAATGGGGAAGTTAAAATAGACTTGATGCTAGAAACAGGAATGAAGACAGAAACAAGGATACTTTAGCTATAGCACTTCAGTGATCATTTCTGAATGCCTTGGGTTGGGAATGATATTTTACCAGGCTTCCTGGAAAGAGCATGACACAAGCTTTGTGTTTTGTTTCAGTTCACCAGCAAATCTGAAGCTCTCCTGTTGAAAACACGCACTCTAATTAACCACCTGGCCTTTGGGTTCGATAGAAAGTAAGCTAAATAATTTCCCACTCCTGGATTCTCCCAGAAATTAAAGTTCGTTGACTTTTCTGTATAATATAGGATTCTTATTCTTGAATCTCAGCTTCCTACATTAAGGATGATGAAACAATTATCGTTATGAGCTCCGAAGAGGTTTTAGTTTGTTTGTCCAGGACAAACATCCCTGTCCTAGTGCCTTCCAGATAATTTGGACTTCAGTTTCTATCAGCCCCGGACAGCAAAACTAATTTATGCCAGGTCAGACTGTTTGTCCATTGAGGCCAATGGCATCTTACTGGCAGCAGCACTGTAGGATGTTTCCCATGACCTACTACCTGATTTTTTTAACTGGACATGTGAGGGTTTGAACCTGGGGCCATTTACATGAAAAAACATGGTCCCTGCCCATAGAGCTGCTATTAAATTGGCTTAGATGGGCTAATGATCTATAAGGCTGCTTCATAAGCATGGTTTGAAACAAATGGAATCTAAGCCTGTGCTTTTTCTGGGTGGACAGAAAACTTAAATGCTTTTGTCAGGAAGACTGTTCCTGAGAGACAGGTAAAACTTACAGCCTTGAGGAACAATCTAGTAAATGTTAGGTCTTTCAGAATATTCATCAACAGGAATTAAGCTTTAACGTTTCACTTGTTCAATTGATTTTGTTGTTGTCAGTCGTGAAGTCATGTCCGACCCATCGTGACCCCATGGACAACATTCCTCCAGGCCTTCCTATCCTCCACCATCCCCCAGAGTCCACTTAAGCTCACACCAACTGCTTCAATGACTCCATCTAGCCACCTCATCCTCTGCCGCCCCCTTCTTCTTTTGCCATCTATTGTTCCCAGCATTAGGCTCTTCTCCAGTCATTACGTGGCCAAAGTATTTGAGTTTCATCTTCAGTATCTGGCCTTCTAAAGAGCAGTCAGGGTTGATTTCCTCTAGGACTGACTGGTTTGATTGCCTTGCAGTCCAAGGGACTCGCAGGAGTCTTCTCCAGCACCACAGTTCAAAGGCCTCAGTTCCTTGGCACTCAGCCTTCCTTATGGTCCAGCTTTCACAGTCATACATTGCAACTGGGAAAACCATAGCCTTGACTATACGCACTTTTGTCTGCTGGGTAATGTCTTTGCTTTTTAGTATGCTGTGTAGATTTGCCCTAGCTTTCCTTTCAAGGAGGAAGCATCTTTTAATTTATTGGCTGCAGTCCCTGTCTGCTGTGATCTTGGAGCCCAGGAAAATAAAATCTGTCACTACCTCCATTTCTCCCCCATCCCCAAATGATTGTAGTGGGCCATATTTGTAGTTTGCTTTTGCTGGATTATGGTCAATGTGATCCTAACTACATTTTGTTCATTTTTTAAAGCAAATCCATGTCAGTGGATCAGAATAAACCACTCTTTATTCCTGCAGGAATGGACTCTCTTAGTCAAATAGGTTGGTGGTTTTCTTATCTAATCTAATGGTTGCCCAGATACCTTTTTTTGAATTTGGAGAGTGCAGGCCAGAAATTGACAAAAATTAGCACTGGTTCGCAAACATCTGCAACACTTATTTGTGTTTGGTATTATGAAAGCATGTTGATTAGAAAGTTTAAGAAGTTTTGGAAAGTTCAACTGTTTTCGGTAATGATTTCTGAAGGATAATGCAATGCTATGCAAGTCCAGTCAGAAATAATCCCCTGTGTGTTCATTAAAGGTTTCTCCCAGATAAATAAGTGTTCACAGCTTTCATATAGCAACTTCAGTGTTGTCAGTTTAGTGCCTGTGTTTAGGAACCCAGATTTTCCCATTAATGCAGAATTATAACAGGCAAGGAAAGGGTCCTATCTCCACATGAGGTAGTTTTTACTTCCTTTCATAATTTTTGTTAAATTATTGATTAAAATAAATTGAGCCATATAATGTACTTTAATTTTAAAACATGATGTGAATATGATTACAATATTTATAATTATTAGGTCCCCCTCCTGCTGCTGATATTGATATTGGAAAGTTGCATGCACAGACACCTATGGATCTATGGAAAAAGGTATTTGAGAAAGCATTTCCAGCAAAGGTAAGCATAAGGTTTTGTTAATTCAACTCCATTTGATACTTCTAAGCAAATTAAGTACACTAGATAGACCTCTAGAATGCTAATAACCATCAGATTCATCATAAGGCAACCAGTCTGTGGAAGAAAGGAAAAACCCTGCCTAACTTGACTAATAGCCCCAGTGGAGGCCAGCCCAAGGGTGGGCTTGACTGACCTCCTTCACTTGTGCAGGACAGAAATTCTCTGGTGAGCAAAGAATTTCTGTTTCTCTTCTGAGGGCAAGAGATGAACTCACTCTGATCATATGACAGACCAGTGCATTCCCAAGTGTGCCAACAGCCTCCTGCTAAGGTAGAAGTAGCAAGAAACCATCCTGTTTATTTTACACTGCATATTGAAGTTACACTGCATCTTCCCTTAAAAGACCTTTCGGGCAGCCATTTCCCTGATGGAGTGAGCCAGGATGCTGTCAGGTACCACCAGGCTGTTGAATGTATGGGGCAGCATGATGCACTTGCATAACCATCAGGCCAGGGAGGCCATGGACATCTTCTCCAGGGAGGATGAACTGAAGGAAATGACGAGGGAGTTGTGCTCTCTGTGCAACCTGATCCTTTCCAGTTGAACTTTATTGCATGCCTGGTGTCCAAGGTATGCCACTTCCTTTCCTAGGATATAAGTTGCTGTGAGTGGAAGTAAGGCATTCATAGCTTCAGTGCTCTGCAGAAGGTCACAGTGATCTTATGAACGAAGGCTGAGTTTGGACAGAGAACCACCTTATCTTTGTGAAAGATGCACAGGTCCCTATTGGAGGAGAGAACCCATAATTCTGAAACTTTTCTAGCAGAGGTAATGGCTACTAGGAATATGGTTTTGAGGGCTATGACCTTGAGGGTGGCTGCATTCAGGGGCTCCGAGTCTGCCTTGGTCACAGTTCTCAGCAGGTGGAAAACCTCTAGACTGGTGGTGGGCTACTTAATGAGGCTGTTTTGAGGAACCTCTTAACATGTGGATATAGACCCAGGGGAGCCTCATTGGCATTGCATAGGATGAACTCTGCGGCTGAAACCTGTTTTCTGAGGGTATTGGCCTTAAGGCAAGCTGTTGGAGCCTCCTGGAAGAACTCTAAAATCTTTGGGAAGCCTGTGACTGAGGTTTCTCTTCTAGAGACTTGGGACCAAACTACAAACATTTTTTTTCAATTTATATCCTGCCTTATTCCTACAAAGGGCTCAAGGCAGCTTACATCATTCTCCTCCTCCATCTTATCCCCACAACAACAACCCTGTGAGGTATGTTGGGCTGAGAGTCTGTGACTGGCCCAAAGTCACCCAGTTGGCTCCATGGCTGAGTGGGGACTAGAACCCAGATCACCTGAGTCCCAGTCCCATGTTCTTAACCACTACACCACACTGGCTCTTAACCACTACACCACACAAACATCCACCATGTGTGGCCGTACATCCTGTTTTGTGGAAGTTTTCCTGGAGGCCAGGAATGTGGAGAGAATAGACTCATTTGCCTAGCAGTCCTCATTTAGACTTTATATGGATGGAAGCTGCAGGAACCCTGGATGTTGATGCCTGATGGGGCCCTGACTGAGGAGGTTGATTTCAAGATAAAATCAATTATTAAAATGTCTAGAGAATAGAGTTGTTTTCTCCTGGCACCAAAGCAATTGTAACGGGTGCCAAGCAAACGCCTTTCAGGAGGCTGTTCCACAGGTGGGGTGCGTAATAGAGTAATATTATAGTGGTAGTTCCCCTATAGTCTTCTAACTAGTCAGACTTTATCTAGGATACTGTGTCCAGTTCTGGGCACCAAGATTTAAGAAAGATGAAAGAAAATTAGAAAGGGACCTGAAGAGGGAAACAAAAATGGTCTAGGGTTTGGAAACACTATCCTTGCAGTCAGGAAGGACTAAGAGAACTGGGTATGTTCAATCTTGAGAAGACAAGACTGATGGGAGACATGATATCACTCTCTAAGTACCCGAAAGGCTTTCAGAAAGAGAAGAGTCAAGATACCAGAGTGTAGAACATGCAATAATCAACTCAAGTTGCAGCAAACCAAATTCAAACTAGATATCAGGAGACATTTCCTCACTGTCAGAGTAATAAGGCAGTGGAACCAGCTGCCTAGAGAGGTCGTGGGCTCTCCCGCACTAGAGACATTCAAAAAGAAACTGGACAGCCATCTGAATGGAATGCTGCAAATGGGTGCCCTGCAACAACAGAGGGTTGGACCCACTGGACTTCACGTCCCTTCCAACTCTTCTAGTCTATGAATCTGTGATAGAGGTGGCTGTACAAACCTGTCCAAGCACCTGTTTGCATTTGCCCTGGACACAGTACTGTCCATTCTGACCAGGGCATTCTCACCCTCAACTCCAGAGGGTTGATAGGAACTTGGGGCTCCTCCCTGGAGTAGTGGCCCCTCAACCATTTAGGCAGGTGTCTCTTATTAGGAAACATGTTGAGGTCTGGATGGCAATGCCCCTGCAAATATCGCTAAGCTAATGAAAAGCATGAGATGATTATTTTACCTGCCTTGATTTCAGAATATTGGTGTTTTCAAAGAAGTCAAGGACCCAGCTCAGGATCCACAATATGCAGAGTATGAAGTCGATGCCATGCGAGCTCAGAAGAACCAGGTATGCCACTGTCTTGTCTCAGCTGTAATTTGTATTGCTGTAATAAAATACTTCTCTGGTATTTTTCAGCTGCAGTATACTGTATTTTTCCATCTATAACATGCCCGCATGTATAGGACACCCCCCACTTTTCCTAACGATTTGCAGCGAGCAAGCTGTTGCCGCCCGCATGCGGTGCCTCACTGCCCCCCCAGCCGCGCATTGCTTTTCCCCCCCCCCCCGGCCACACCTGCCGCCCCCCCCTGCTGCTTCGCTGCCCCCTGCCTCCCCACCTTTGCCCCCCCTGTGCACAATTGTGCCAGTCTCGCCCCCCCGAGCACCTCCCCCCCATGTATAAGACGTACCTCCATTTTTAGCTAAATGTTTTAAAGAAAAAGTAGCATCTTATACATGGAAAAATACAGCATCTACTCAAATTCTGTACTTATGAGTTTTTCTAGCTATAAGTCCTTATTCAGCCATTACATTTGCTTAGTGGCCTTGGACAATTCATTATCTCTCAGGTGAAGAATGTAAGAAAAACTATGCTGGATCAGTCCAAAGATCTATCTAGTCCAGCAACAAATCAGCTGTCCACAGGATTGCTCAAGCAGGATAGGTACAAGACCTACACTTGCCCAAGCTCCTCAGTAACTGCTGTATGCAGGCATGCTACCTCTGGTGCAGGAGATACCACATAGCCAGCAAGGCCAGTAATCACTGATAGCTTCCTCCCTCATGAATCTGTCCAACCCCCTTTAAAGCCACCCAGATTGGTGGCCATCACCACTTCGCATGGCAGCAACCATAGTTTAACTATATGCTGTGTGAAGTACTTTCTTTTATCTGTCCTAAACCTCCCACCAATCAGCTTCATGGGATGACCCCAAGTTTGCAGATATGAGAGAGGGAGAAAAATGTTTCCCTCGCCACTTACCATGTACTATTTTAAACCCTTCTATCTACTTGCCCTTTTTCTAAGCTGAACAGTTTCAGTTGTTGTAGCTGTTCTTCATAGTACCTTATAGGAGAACTTTTCCACCCTGCTGATCTTTTTTTTTTCTTTTTTCTTTTTCTTTTTCCAACTCAATTATGTCCTTTTTCAGGCAAGACAACCAGAATTGAACACACTAAAGTGCATTCACACTAAAGTGCATTCACACTAAAGAGTTGTGTAAGGGAAGTAAGAATTTGGCAATTCTATTTTCTATTCCATTCCTAAATATGCCTAACACTGAGTTTACCTTTTTCACAGCAGCTGTGCACTGAGCCAATATTTTCATCAAACTGTCTACTACTCTTTCAAAATCCCTTTCCTGCTCAGCCGCTGCAAGTTCAGATCCCATCAATGTATACTCAAACTTGTTTTTTTTGTTTTGTTTTTGCTCCAGCATGCATTGCTTTATGCTTGCTTATACTGAACTGCTTTGCCATTTTGAGGTCCATTCTCCCAGCTTGGAGAGATCCCTTTGAGCTCCTCACAATCCCTTTTGGTTTGTTTGTAAACCCTAACAGCTTTAGTGTTGTCAGCAAACTTGGGTACTTCACGGCTTACTCCTAATTCCATCTTGTTTATGAACAGGTTAAAAAGCAGTGGTCCTAATATAGAACCCCGTGAGATTTCACTGGTTACCTCTTTCCACTGTGAGCAGTTGTCATTTATTCCTACTCTCTGTCTTCTGTTCTTTAACTAGTTAGTGAGTTAGTGATCCATAAGAGGACCCCCCCCCCCCCCGCTTTGTTTCATGATTGCTTAGTTTGCTTGGGAGCCTTTGGTGGGGCACTTTGTCAAAACCCTTTTGGAAGTCCAAGTAAACAGTGTCTACTGGGTTGTCCCTGTCTATATGCTTACTCTCAAAGAACTCCAATATCTTTGTGAGACAAGACTTCCCCTTGTGGAAGCCATATTGGGTCTTTTTTCAACAGGGCTTGCCTCTCTATGTGCTTACTGATTCTATTGTTAATTATGCTTTCAGAAAGTTTATCCAGAACAGATGTTAAGCTAATTGGCCTGTAATTTCTAGATCTTCCCTGGATTCCTTTTTAAAAATTGGTGTTACATTGGCCTTTTTCCAATCCTTCAATCCTTGTACCTGGTATTACAAGATCTGATATTAGGGATATATTAAATATTTTGGTAAGAAAGTCAGCAATTTCATTTTTGAGTTCTTTTTGAACTCTAGGATGGATACCAACTGGACCAGGTAACTTGCTGACTTTCAGTTTGTCAATAAGGTTTAGGATTTCATCTTTTGTCAGTACTGTCTGCCTTAATTTCACAGTCTCTCTTCCAGAAAGCATAAGCTCAGGGATTGGTTTCTGCTCTTCATCTTTTGCTGTGAAGACTGATGAAAATAATTCATTCCATTTCTCTGCAGTCTCTTTGTCCCCCCACTCCTAGTGCTCCTTTAATTCTATTATCATCCAATATTCCAACTGCTTCTTTAGCTGCTTCCTTTCTTTTTGATATATTTAAATATCTTTTATTGTTAGCCTTGATTTTGGTGATGTGCTCCTCAAACTGTTTCCTTGCTTCTCTGATTTTTTGCTTGCATGTCCTTTGTGCAAGCTTGCGATCCCTTCTGTTCTTTTCAGTTGGGCAAGTATTCTTCTGTTGTTTTTATTTGCCATTCCAATTTTTGAAGGAAGTTCTCTTCTCTGTTTCTTCTTTCTCTTCTTCCTTGATTCTGTGTTAATCATCCTGGTGATTTCATGGACTTTGTGCTACGTTTTGTTACTTGTGGCATACGTATTATCTGTGCCTCTATTATAGTGTTTCTGAGTAATCTCCAAGTGCTTTGAAGCAATTTAAACATCTTGATTTCTCTCTTCAGCTTCTTTACCAGTTCCCTCATTTTTGAGAAGTTTCCTCTTTTAAAGACAAATACAGCTGTGCTTGACCTCTTTGGTAGTCTTCCACCTAACTGTATTAAATCTGATACCAGCGTGGTCACTGTTACCTAATGGCTCAGTAACATTACATCCTGTGCTATGTCATGAGTAACTCCACCTAGGACTAAATCCAGGATTGCCTCTCCTCTGATTGGTTCCATGACCAACTGCTCTAAGGCACAGTCATTTGGGACATGGAGAAATTTAACCTTTCAGTCAGAACTGGAACATTTATTTATTCAGTCAATGTGTGGGTAGTTGAAGTCTCCCATTGAGTACTGACTTGTTAGAGGTTTCCCTGATTTCATTTCCCATCTCAAGAGCACCCTGAGCATTCCAGTCTAGAGGACAATAGCAAACTTCTAGGATTAAGTTGGTTTGTAATCAGGAATTTTCACCCATATTGCTTCTGTGGAGGTGTCTTCACACTATCAAAAATCAAGTCTACTGAACTCTATGCCCTCTTTAACATAGAGGGCAATACTTCCTCCAGTATACCCTTCCCTGACTTTCTTATACATTCTGTATGCAGAGATGACCATATCCCATTGGTTTTCTTCACTCCACCAAATTTCCACAATGCCCACCATATCTAGCTTTTCCCTTACCACCAGGTACTTCAGCTCACCCACTTTGGCCCTAAGGCTTCTGTCATTTGCACAGAAACAGCTAAGCACAGTGTCCCCCTCCAGCTGCATGCAACCAGTTTTCTGACACTTAGTCCTCTCCAACTGGTTATCATGGTTTACCATAACCTTGTTGCCTACTTCCTCCCCTTCTATACTTGGGCAATCTGAAACGTCCTCCCCTTCATTCATTAGGGTTGAATTGAACCCAGGTGCTTCCCAGCTCCTGTCAGCTTTCTTCAGGGGTTCAGTTTAAAAGGTGCTCTGCCATCTTTTTTATGTTATACACTAGCATTTTGGTTCCATTCTGGTTCAAGTGGAGCACATCCCTCCTGTACAGGCCTGGCAGTGCCTAACAAATGTGAAGTCCTTCTCTTTACACCACCATCTCATCCACTCATTGAGACTCCTCAGCTGTGCTTGTTGGCTGGCCCTGTGCATGGAACTAGAACCAATACAAAGAAGGTCTGGATTTCAGCCTTGGAGGTCTGGATTTCAACCTTCTACCTAGCAACTTAAATTTGACTTCCAGGACCTTATGGCTACATTTCCTCACATCATTGGTCCCAACATGGACCAAGACCACTGACTCCACCCCCACAATTCCACACAGATATAGGCAATTCCACACAACCATCACAAACCCAGGTTTCTTTGTTCTTATTTTTTGAATTGCCTACTACCAAAAGCCTCCCTGCAGAGAAATTTCCTCAGGATACATTTGAGAGGATGCATGCTTGCCTTCCAAGGAATGGGTCTCTTCTAAGGGATCATTTCCCTTTTCTCAGAATGACACCCTTCTTCCCCAAGACTCCCTTTCTCCATGACCACAAAGGAGCTGTCACTCAGGAATTGGGACCCTGCTAATTGGTCCCTGGGGATCTTGTCATCCAGTCTGTCTACCTCTCTGATTCTCCAGGTCAGCAACCTTCGCTTCAAGGGATGAATATGTTCCCTGAGAGCCAAGAGCTCATTACAACCAAGCACACACTCATGACTTCTATCCCTTTGGCAGATACATGTGGCATTCAGCGCAATACACTGAATAGCTCCCATACCCCTGCTGGTGTTCTGATTTAACTGGTATAAGTGAGTTTGTTTACTTGAAGAAATGAAATAAATCGATGATGATGACGATGACATGTATGGCTCTGAAATCTACAGAAATGGAAAAACTCTAGTTTGCTTCTAGTAGATGGTAAATTTATTTAAGATGACAAGATTTATTCTAGAATATTAACCTATATTTACTTCAGCAAGTGTTTCAGTTTTAAGACTTGATTATAATTAATTAATTAGAGTTTTGTTGTAGATTACAATTGGCATATAATTAATTACCAATGTAATTTTCAGTGATTTTTATTGAATATATTTTAATTTGCTTGCAAAATATATATATTCTTGCTTTATAGGCATACTAATCTTATGATTATGGATGCTTTTTATTAACTAAAATAGGCTACTGGTGAGGCTTGATTAAATCGTATTGAAAATTAATCTTTT